CACCCGAGAAACTCTCCCATATGCCCCAATCCCAACCGTAGCCCTCCCCTTCCTTCCAAAGTAACAAATCCTTGTGGTTTGTTTTATCACCCAAATGTGAATATTGCTCCCCAACCCCTTTTTTTTTAAACTTGATATGTGTCTTGTCTTTTCCTTACAATTTCTGTTGAAGAACTTAGGCCTTTAGATCTGTGGAGATTCCTACACTCTGGAAATTGTACTCTCAAGGGCAGTTCAGCACATTCCTCTGTCCTCTGCATTTCCTGCAAATTGGCAGCTGGATCCAGAGGCCTCGCCAGACTGGGGTTTGACCTTTTGGTAAGACTGTAGGTTGTGGTATATTCTTTCATCCGGAGGTTTTTATGTTGTCTGGGCTTTGATCTTTTTTGTGGTTATCAGCTGTAGATGCTCCATGTTTGGATCCATGAATTTATTAAGGAGTTGCGAAATATTACACTAGAAATTGCAATTCTACCATTCTGTTTTCATTTATTATCTGGAATAATTTTATAGGGAGATGTGTCCCTCATCTATTTGCTTTGTGAGTAGTAAAGTTCAAATAGAAAAAGCAAGAGAAATTCTTGTACTTAGTTTTTAATGTAATCCTTTCAGATGATGATTAGTTTATTATTATTATGAATTTGTGGCTTTCAATATTTTTGGTGTGTTTCAATCTTTGCAATTCACATTCTTGTTAGAAGCTCAGATTGTTCCTATGGCCCCTGGTAACCTCTTTAGTTTGGCTCCTGGGTCCTTTTAATGTGACTGTAGAAGTCTTTGATAGCTTCCTTGCTATTTCTTATGACGATGTTTTAGGCTTATTTTGTACATTTTCTACTTCAGAACTGGAATCAGCCATTTCTCTAAGAAGACCTCCTGTTGTAAAAAAAAAAAAAAAATTAATGGGAAATAGTACTCTATGACCCCAGTCTAAGTACTAAAGATGCTCAGTGCTTCTCAGTTTGTTACTGTTTTTAAATCTTTTCATTGGAAAGAGCTAGACAAATATATGTATTAAGGTAAATCCTTGTAGGCTCATACTGATATTTTCAATTCTGATAGTTCATTTTTGCTGAAAATAAAATCCTTGGCTTGCATGTTCTTTCCTTGAATATCTCAAATCTGTAACTCCAGTTTTGTTTTTGTTTTTGTTTTTTTCCTGGTAAAAACATTGCTGTTGAAAAGTCAGATGATAGTCTTATTTTCTTTATCTTACAATTCACATGATCTCTTGGCCTAAATCTCAAGGGAATATTCATTAATTTTACTATAGTAAATGTCTTGTTGGACATTCTGGGTTGATATTCTCAGGTACAGGGTAGCCTTTTTTAGTATGTAGCTTCAGGTCTTTAAATTTCAGATAAGTGCTCTTGGATTTTGGTTTTTCACATTTGTTCTGTACCTTTGCTTTGGTTTTCTTCTTTAGGAAATTCATATTGCTTATCTACAATATTGATTACTTTGTCTTGATTCCTTTTCTTATTGCTATTTCTTAAAATATTTTTTAAATAAATTATTAGGAATAATTTTACATTTACTATAGAAAATGTGCAAAGGTAGTTCACAGTTCAGTAAGCCTCTCACCCAGTATTCCCAAAAGTTAATATGTTACATTAGCAAAGCACATTTGTCAAAACTAAGAAACCAACATTGATTCATTATTATTAACTAAACTCTGTACTTTAATTTCACTATTTCTCTATTAATATCCTTTTTCTGTTCCAGGATCAAATCTTAGAATATCACATTGCATTTAGTTCATTTCCTTTTTTTTTTTTTAATTTGAGATAATTGTAAAGTCACACTTGTAATAAAGAATACTAAGAGATCCCAAAGTAGACACTTTGTCTACTTTCCCTCAAGATAACGTTTTACAAAACTACTGTTTCATACCACAACCAGGATACCAACATTAATACATTTCTCAGTTTTGTTTGTATCTTTGTGTGTATGTGTGTTTGCGCATGTGTGTGCCTCTGTGTGTGTGTGTGTGTGTGTGTGTGTGTGTGTGTTTATATGTGTACAAGTTCTGTACAATTTTATCACCTGTGTTGGTTCCATAGCTACCACCACAGTTAAGGTATTAGGGTTCGAGCACCACAAGGATCCCTTACGTTGCCTTTTTATAACTAAAACTACCTTCTACTCTCCTACTTCCAAGCCCTTTCTAAGCTCTGCTACCACTAATCTGTCCTCCATTTCTAAAATTTCGTCATTTTTGCAAGTATGTAATTATATAGTACAAGTATGTAACTCTTTGGAATTGGCTTTTTTTGTTTTTTCATTCATAAATTCCTGTGGATTAAATTACTGGGAGTATCAGTAGTTTGTTCCCTTTTATTGCTGCACAGTATTCCATGGAATGTATAATACCATCATTTGTTTAACCATATTGAAGGTTACTTGTTGAAGGACATCTTTTCTGAATCCAGTTTGGGATTTTTACAAATGAAGCGGCTATGAACATTCATACAGGTTTTGTGTGAATTTAAGTTTTTATTTCTCTGTAATGTCTAGGAGTAAAATTACTGGGTCATAAGGTAGTTGTATGTTTGGTTTATAGTTAATTTATTTTTGATTATTAAAATTATCCTTCATTTCAACTTTCTTTTTTTCTTAAGTCATGATTTGTTGTGATTATTCATTTTCCTGTTTCTTGTAGTTTCATCTTCATTTCCAAAATTAAGATTATTTTCAATTATTTTGTGTGTTTCCACCTCTGTGTTTTTCTATTTTGGGTAATTTATAATTTTATTTCTTTTAATTCATTTGAAGTCAAAGAAAGCATCTTCTATGTATATGTTTAGCAAAGTTTGCAGAATAGAAAATGGTGGAAGTATCAGAAGTAACTTTTCTTTAGTAAAAGTAAATATGACACATATTTCTCTCATGTACCTACTGTTTGTGCTCTGCTGTGCTGTGTAGTGATGTTCCTACACTTAGCAGTTAATACTTAGCTATTAATTTTTGTTAAATAGGTATTAATATTGGAAGTAGATATTGTTTTCAGCTCTATTGAGATATAACTGACAAATAAAAATGTATATATTTAAGTTGTATAATGTGATTTTGATATACATATACATTATTAAATGATTATTACAATCACGCTAATTAATATATCCATCATTTCACATTGTTACCTTTTTATTGTAGTGAGAACACTCAAGATTTACTCTCTTAGCAAATTGCAAGTATAATATAGTATTATTAACTGTAGTCACCTTGCTGTACATTAGATCCCTGATCTTATTTATCCATATAAGTAAAACTTTGTGCCTTTTGACAGACATCTCCCCATTTTCCTTAGCCCCTGGCACCCACTATTCTTCTCTCTGCTTCTGTGTTACTTTTCATATATAAGTGAAATCGTGCAGTGTTTGTCTTTCTGTACCTGGTTTATTTCACTTAGCATAATGCCCTCCAGGTTCACCGCGTTCTCTCAAATGACAAGACTTCCTTATTTTTTTAGGGCTGAATAATATTCCACTGTGTGTACATACCACATTTTTTAAAATATATATATATATATATATATATATATATTTAGGGGAATTGGGAGAGGGGAACAGTGTTGGGGAATTGGGGAGGGTCCAGCCAAGTTGTTGTTCTTCAGTCTTAGTTGTGGAGGGCGCCAGTCTCCATCTGGCTGCCCGTTGACAACCTGTGGCCTCTAAGCTCAAGGTGCTGTGTTCAATCTTAGTTGCAGGTGGGCATAGCCAGCATCCCATGCGGGATTCCGACCGGCAGCCTTGTTGTTAAGAGCACATGCTTTATCCACTGAACCATCTGGGTGGCAGCTCAGCTTAAGGTGCTGAGTTCAGTCTTAGTTGCGGGCGGGCATAACCCACCATTGAACAGGCAGTCTTGTTAGGAGCACATGCTCTCACCAGCTGAGCT